TCTTCGCTCAAGGACGGGCAGCGGCTAAGACGGCGGACGTATGGACGAGTTTACCGCAACGCGTTTGGTGGCACCATGCCAAACCATGCTCCAGTCGAGTTGCTCCAGTTGTGCCGCTGCTGGCAACACAGCTCGTCCAAATCACCAACTAAACTAGTGGGCGGATCGCTTTTGGGGCGGAGTGCTTTCGAAGTCCTGCTCAGCAACCAGCGCACCTTTCGTCGTGAAAGCGCCACACCTCGCTTCCTTGGCAGCCAAGTAACTGCCTTGTGGTGCATATAAATACTTCCCGATGCGCCGCCTCTTTATCGTGATCGCCTTTTTTGAGTCCGGTACAACTTTTTAAAGGTAGGTCAAAAATGCGATTCCTTGCGAAACTTCGGCTGGTAGCGGGTCATAACAGTGCGCGGCTGACGCACGCACATTATTTCTGGAGGCCGACAAACAATGTTTTTTTTTCAGTTCCATAGGCAGTCTCATACGGCAAGAATGCTGGTGGCGTTTGGCAGACCCTTCCATGTTCCGATGATACGTAAGGTGGTACCTGGCATACGCGGAAGTAGTTTGCCGGCGCGCATTATTACGCCATTGATAAGGCGCCCTGTCTCTGATTGGTCAACTAATCGACTTCATTTGGGTAAGATCTCTCCCCGGCCAAACAAGATCGGAGTCTTCTCACTATCGCAGTATGGTAAGTAGTTGCCATCGGGCGTGTTGTTTCCACGACCACCTTCTCAAATAAATATCGCTAGGGTTAGCAATACGTGATTGTGACTCTTTGAAAGTCTCCTACACGTTCTCTGCCGCGAAGGCCCCGGCATAGACAATTAATAACCAGACCTGGCTCGGCTCAAAAAGGAGGACAGTTGAAGCTGCACGAAGAAGCTGAGCTTAGAGGGTGGAGAGCGTCTGGGATGGACAGACCACTAACAGATTGTGGCAATAAGATCTTGACTGTGTGAACGGATCAGTGTGCGCGCTGTTTTATGGCGAGAGGGCGGCCAGAACGATCAGCGATCAAATTGAGTTTTGGGTTGAAGGGACCGAGCTTCAACGGGTTTCGTAGATCGTGGCAGAGGCAGCTGACAAATGCAGGTAACCCGAAACTGCTGTGAAATGAGACGTGAAACCGCATGCACGTGGCTATACTCGTTCACAACGCTAAATCTTCACACCTAGACTACGAATTAGTACAGCTGCTTTCAAGTGTTTTGCCTAAGCATCCATTTATGGTAGTTAGCTTATTTGAAGAATAAGAGGACTGGCAGTGCAGGCAATGCATGAAGAAGCACGCATGAAAAGAGGCGGAGACCCAGAATGGGACCCTTTTTTTTGCCAGCTTTTGATTTGCGCATTGCCGGTGGTCCCTTCGCTGTGCTCTCTTCAACGCTACCCTCTCTTGTTACGCCCGTGAATCAGCCTTGCCATGCGTATAAAAGACCATTGCGGCAGAATCTACATGTCAAAATGGGACGCGCGACGAGAGCGGCAACATGGAACGAATTCGCAGACGGCGCGCAAAGCGGGTGAGAGGCCATGTTGGATGCGTCGAGGTCAATAACTTCACGGTGCCATTGCGAAGTGGTAGCAACCGTCAGAGGCTCGCCTGTCTCCCAAACTATGCAATTTCCGCTTATAGTGAATTCCACCTCTGAAAGGAAGCGACCGTGGGTTAGAGTCCTTGCGGTGGAGGCTATGTAAGTCTCCTTTTTAATCAATACAGCCAAGAAGACTAGAGACAATGAATACGTTACTTCATCAATGGTTGCTGTAGGCGACGTCTGATTTTATTCTGCATTGACCCAGCCTTGAAAAAATATCATCACAATGCCACAGCACTACTACAACAGCAGCTTCCAAACAAAATACACTCGTTTATTCCGATTCTTTTTCATTCTGAAGTTATCATTAACAACGAACACTACGTTAACCTAATTTTATACTTGAACCAATGATCACAATATGATCACAAAAGGTGGTACACTTGAATCAGGATCCAAATACCAATTTTGCAATCTTATTGCAATCCTCTACCTTAGCCCACTTACACTTTCACCCGATCGGGCCAAGGATGCAAGTAGTGACATATGTTGAAAGGAATTCAACATGTCCCTATAACAAATACAAATAACAACAGAAACGACTGCGCTACACATATGAGTGAAAATTGAAAGCACTTATTCCAGGTCGTCAGTGTCGTCCAACAACTCTTTGATCTGAAATTAGCAATTATGTACTTAATCGTCGGCGACAGTATGACATAATGTCGTGCCACACTTTCACATGCCGAAAACATAACTTAGATACCCAAACGAATCCTGCTGACCAGGATGCGACTGTTTCATGAGGGTCGAATTATCGCACGTCATCTACATCACCACGATATTTTCAATTCATAAAATTTCATGTCCTCTTCGATCAATAATTAGGCAATTTCTACTTGACCGTTTCCCCTTCGCACCACATCACCATATGGCTCGTTCACCCACACCTATCATGAACCTGACATTTCTCTCCTCACGAAAGCTAGAACGTCGAGATGTGGATTGTCTACAGGGTGGGCCAAAATTATGAGGACCGCGTGCGCGCGCGGTCATATCCACTTTTTTCCGAGTCGCTCCATTTTCATCTCCTTTTCTGTGCACTATGTGAAGGGTACAATGTCTTCTTCCTAATGAAACCAAATTTCATGCAGTTCTCAAAACTAGTGAAATAACACATCACCTTACGTCAGTCCTCAAATTGAACTCACTAGGGGCTCTGGCACGTTACATCTAGCGGCAGTCTAACGTATCAGGGAAGCTCTTATGAGCAACAGTTCAACTCTTCAATAAGTTTGGAACCACCACAGATGGAAAATTCGGGGACTCGAAAGTTACAGTTACCACCAGGATAATTATCAGATGCAGAAACTAGGTCTCCCCTTGTCGACTTTCGTACACCCAAAATGAAAAAATTGATGTGAAAACCTAGCCAGACACTCTAAAGAATCCAAATCTGTAGAGGATAGAAGGCGACGCGAGT